TTCACCAGGCTTTAGATCCCAACCTGACTGAGCGCAAGATGTTAAACTCATTTGAAACATTCATTAAATATTGAACCTGCTTTTCCTCTTTCTCACTCACTCCCACTCTGACTCAGCATAGAGTCAGAACTCCTTCCTTGGTCATCTCAATAGATTTACTTTAAAGCTACTCGGTGTGAGGCCAGAGGCCTTTTAGACAGTCATTAAATCCAACTGTGTTGCTCCTTGATGGATTGCTGTGTGTACCCACGTATGCTTGTATTTATTATGCCCTTTGTTCCTTTGTTTCTTCTCTTTTCTGGGATGTTCCCAGGCCTGAGCCTGCAGGCCCCTAGTCCCAGGCACTGCCAAGTGTGGCCCTTCTGGGAGCAAGCTGTTGTGGTATGTACTGCGGGCTTCAGGTGTTGGAGGATTGACCCTCAGTGTGGCTAAGTGAAAAGAGATGATGCCTTTAAGAAACAGGCCCTATGGGGATGGAAATGTGGCTTAGTGGCAGAGTGCTTGTTTGGCATGCATGAAGCCCTGGGTTTGATTCCTCAGTGTCACATAAACAGAAAAGCTGGAAGTGGTGCTGTGGCTCAAGTGATAGAGTACTAGCCTTGAACTGCTTTTGTGCCTAGGGGTTTGATTCCTGGGGGGGTGGGGGGGGGAAGAGGAGGAGAAAGAGGAGGAGGAGGAGGAGCCTAGTGGGAAGGTATTAGGGAAACTGCTCAGGGAAGCTCCAGGCAGACTCCTGAGCTCTCATGAGGGGGTGAGTCAAACCCCTGACCAAACTTCTGGCTTCTTGTTTGGCCATAGGATTCTTTCCCCCAGCATGTGTCCTACCAAGTGATACCATCCACCATAAGGTCCTCACGGAGCCCAGCTAGTGCTGGTGTCTTGTCCTTGAATCTCAACAAAGCTTTTTTTTCTATTTGAAGTTATCTAGCCTTGGTTTTAGTTGTTAACACTATTGCCAACAATAACAAAAAGAAATGGGCTAATATAGTCCTATCTGGCTCTTCTGTGATCTGTAGAGACAGGAAACCAAGCCTGAATCAGCCTCAGATCCCATTCATTCCCATCACCCATACATAGGGTGCCAAGCACCTGAGACTTGAAAGAGAATGAGGATTTGAGTTTTGTTCTCACGGAACCTCTCTGAAAAGAAAGGATTGTGAATTATGTGCCCCAGGACGGTGATAAATGAATGAAATATAAAAATTACAATGAATAGAGGATCTAATTTTTCTCTTAGGGACAGGGAGAACCTATAAGCCAGACCCAGCACACATTGGGTGGAAAGAGGGAGAGAATCTACACAGGGAAAAAAAGCCTGGGATGGGAGGCCTGAAACTGATGGTGGACAGTAGATGACAAGCCGAAAAGAAATGCGCTCTCCTAATGACAGTCCCTCTGTTCTCAATTTTCCCAATATTCGTCAGTGTACCTAATTCATCTTCAAAATGGAAACAGATCAACACTGTGGAAGCATCCATTTTGAATTGATATTTGAGATAATTAAAGTACCACAATAAATAGTAAATAATTGGAAATAGGTTTGTAATTCAACTTTGGATATTTGTGTACATATGCATCTCTCTCTCTCGCTCGCTCTCTCTCTCTCCCTCACACACACACACACACACACATACACACAGGCATGAGACACCAAGGCTCACCTTAGGGCTTGAACTCTTGCTTGTCTTGTTCACTCAAAGCTGACATTCTATCACTTAAGCCATATCTCCAATCCTAGCTTTTTTCTGGTTAATAGTCTCACAGATTTCTCTGCCCAGGCTGGCTTCCAACCAACGAACATCATCCACAGACTTCCTACATGGATGTCCATGGTGTAAGTTCCATAAAAGAAAAAAATAAAGGAAAATATGACCTAACCCCTTCCCTCAAGGAGGATGTACATTGGCAATTAACTTACTTACATTTATGGAATTAACTTACATTTATGGAATACTTCCTGTGTACTGGGTACCATCCAGCTGCTGTGAGTTATTGTCTCATTAATACTTGCATCAACCCTATAGGGTAGGGTCATGGACTCTACTCATTTTAGAGCTCAAGGCACTGAGTTTGAAGCAGATCCAGTCTTTGGGACTTCAGATTAGGCTGACTCCAGAATCCTTGTTCCTGAGCATTATGCTTATGCTACTTTGCAGACAAGCATTCTGTATTTTAAGGCTCTAGGAAACAAAGGTGAAAGAAAAATATAAGTGAGCGGTTGGCCTAACCCAACCTGTTTATGAGTTCTATCTCCTTACCTGAAGGCTTATAAAATATGGACTCTACAAAGAATAAATCTTCTTAAAACTCCAAACCTAAGTCTTTCATGTGATCCTAAATATTATTGGCTTAAAGTTAATTGAACCCAAGGGGTTTGTTGTTGCTGTTGTTATTCTGAAATCTTAGCCAAGTAGTATTTTCTTGCTATCTGAAATATGGGTTGTTGAGAAGTGTTCCTTGGTGACCTTTGATCTCATTAGGGAATTCTAAATTGAGATGACTAGGATATATGAATGAAACCCAATATTAAAATATCACCAAGCTTCAGTCCTAGAAGACTCTAGTTCAATGTTTACATTCAGCATGACCACATTTGGAGAAAATGAAATGAATGTCAGTTGCTCTCCTTTGACCACTTGTGATTTTTCTTTCACTCTGGAGTGACAGGAAACCCATATCCTCAGCATCAGCTCTAATTCAGCCATTTGAGAAACTGCCAGAGCTTGGGAAATGCCATCTTCAGAACTCTGAGAAAACCCAGTTGCAGATGATGCTAATGCAATTTGAACTTCTCAAAGCTCCACTACTGCTCTGATGTCATCTTCCATGAATTGTCATTAATTTGGCCTTTCATGAGGCCTGGCCCAGTAATTGCGTGGTTGCTAATGGACTCTGGTTCTTTGGAATTCCAGTGTTTTCTTTTTCATTAGTTTTGTTTTGTTTAGCCCTATTGAGGCTCAAGCTCAGGGACAGAGCACTAACCCTTAGCTTTCTTTTCCCCCCAAAGCTGGCACTCTACCACTTAAGCCATACCTCCACTTCTAGCTTTTTAGTGGTTAATTGGAGGTAAAAGTCTCACAGACTTTCTTACTTGGGCTGGCTTTGAACTCTGCTCCTCAGACATCAGGCTTCTGAGTAGCTAGGATGACAGGCATGAGCCACCAGCATTTGGGGAAACAGTGTTTTCTCTCTTTTCTTCCTTTCTTTCTTTCTTTCTTTCTTTCTTTCTTTCTTTCTTTCTTTCTTTCTTTCTTTCTTTCTTTCTTTCTTTCTTTCTTTCTTTC